GTGGATGCATGGAACAGCCTTCCAGCTGAAGTGGTAGAGGTTAACACAGTGAAGGAATTTAAGCATGCGTGGGATAGGCATAAGGCTATTCTAGCTATAAGATAAGATAAAATATAAGATAAGGCCTGGGACTAATGAAAGTATTTAGAAAATTGGGCAGACTAGATGGGCTGAATGGTTCTTATCTGCCGTCACATTCTATGTTTCTATGTTGCAAGCAGAAATGCTGTACATACAGATTCCTAAACATTTAAAAACAAAATGAAAAAAACAATCCTTGTTAAACAAAAATTCAAACTCAAAATAAATCACTGTTTAGTTGTCCTGTCCAAACCAAGTGCACTATTCAAGTACTCATTGTTCTGGAGTTCCAAAGGTCGAAGACAGTCCCAGATAATAATGCAAGGTAAACAGGAACAGTTGGAAATATAAAACCACATATTTTATTCACTCTTTAGGGCTATTAAAATCCCAACCCATAGCAAAATAGCGCGACCATACTTGGAATGAAATGCCTCTAAATGGTCAAACATCAAACTTGACAGGCACTTGACTGCTGAACACATTACATTCCCGTTACCCCCAATAATGACATGAGTATTGGATAAGGGCAACGGCCACAGCTTTATTTGATTTACTTTAAACACCGCCAGCATTATCACCACCTGTCGGCTGTTGGGGTGACTACCCAACAGACAGCTAAAACCATATATTTCCATAGTCCGTACAGCCTGCCTTCTGCAATCAGCCCTAGCAGGCTGCAACTCCCCAAAGCCTTGTCTCGTGCATTACTTGCGCTGGCCAGGAACTCCACCACCGCGATGCCGACCCTGATTTCAATTCCCACCCACGCAGATAGCGCCTGTTCAATACCTGCTTGCAGACCCATATTAAAAATATGCAAGCCAATCGGATTAAGGTGCACCCCATCCGCCCTCATTAAACTGCGATTGTTTCCTTACAGTTCCACGTGTCGGACTGACACACCACCAAGGCGATGCACAAACCTAGAAATAGTGACATTGAATTTGCTTCTGCTCCTTTCCAAATCCTTTGCATGAGGCAAGGATTGCCAGCACGGACGGGGAACAATCTCAGACCATATCAAAGTACACTCCGAAAACAATGCCAAGCAACGTGCCAATTAATGCTTTACAGAGTGCACTAAATCCACGGTCCTGAGCCTACCTTAATCATTACCCCCCACATGGATCAAAATTATGACAGTCCCTGACACCAACCTGCTAAAGGCAACACACTCCGGGTAAACTTGCTTCCAGGACAACCTCTGAAACCCTCCAGTGAACCCTCGCCAACTCGGCTGGCATCCCCAGGTTCTGTCCATAGGAGCGTGACCAGGGCCGCCATCAGAGGGTGACAACCATGATGGTTGTCACGGCCTGGTGGTCCTGGGGGCCCGGACTGCTCTGGCAGTGTGCTGGGCCCCCTCTGCAGTAACAGGAAGTTGGGTGCTCCCCATGCCACCGGACCACCAGGGATGGAATCTCCCCCCTCCCTGGACACAGGTAAGCAGGGAGGGGGGAGAAACATTTAATTAATTTAATATACACTAACACAACACACACCCTACATACACAACACACAGTCTGCATACACTAACACAACACACACTGCATACACTAACACAACACACTCTCTGCATACACTAACACAACGCACACTGCATACACTAACAACACACACTCTACATACACTAACACAACACACACTCTGCATACACTAACACAAAACACACTCTGCTTACACTAACACAACACACACTAACACAACACACACTACATACACTGACACAACACACACTGCATACACTAACACAACACACACTGCATATACTAACACAACACACACTCTGCATACACTAACACAACACAGACTCTGCATACACTAACACAACACACACTGCATACACTAACACAACACACATACTGCATACACCGACACAACACACACACACACTGCATACAATGACACAACACACACTCTGCAAAACACTAACACAACACACACTGCATACACTAACACAACACACACTGACACAACACACACACACTGCATACACTAACACAACATAGGAACATAGAAACATAGAAACAGAATGTGATGGCAGATAAGAACCATTCAGCCCATCTAGTCTGCCCAACAACACACACTGCATACACTAATACAACACACACACTGCATACAGTAACACAACACAAACTGCATACACTAACACAACACACATACACTGACACAACACATACACTGTATACACTAACACAACACACACTGCATACACTAATACAACACACACTCTGCATACACTACACACTGACACGCACTCTGCATTTGCTACACATTAACACACTCTGCATTCACTACACTAACACACACTCTGCATCCGCTACACTAACACACTCTCTGCATTCACTACACATTAACACTCTGCATTCACTACACATTAACACTCTGCATTCACTACACTAACACACACTCTGCATCCGCTACACACTAATACACACTCTGCATCCGCTACACACTAACACACTCTCTGCATTCACTACACATTAACACACTCTGCATTCACTAC